AAATATTTACTCCAAATTTTCATACCATTAATATACTAATCCTATTTAATGTCAAAACTGATAGTTGACCTATTTTAGGCTATACACAAATGCCAATACTGAAGAGTCACTTAATATTTTTTCTAATTACTTTCTATAGTATACTGTATATAAACTACAAAATTAAACTGTTTAGAGTTGCCAATAATAAAATTATAAAACTTTAAATATGTATTTCTCTTGATGTTTTAGTGTCAATATTAGAAAACATAATTGGTCAGGCAAATTTTTCCACTAAAGGGAAACAGAGTAATTAATTCTTAACAATGAATTACACTTAACTGTAAAATAGTTATTTTTCCAAGTCAATACTTCCATCAATCCATTTTACAGACAGCAAGTCAAAGCCTGTGTCCAAGATAACAAAGCCACTCAAAGAATAATCACTAGTGGACCCCATTTCAGAATGTAACCACAATAGCATATTTTAAGAATAGCAGTAAAAGTAAACTTATAAAATAAGATTTTAGAACCAATTGAAATAAACTTAGTATCTCTCTAATTAATAAGATTATTAATAAAAACTAAGAGTAAGTATGTGAAAAGAAAAAGTTCCAATGTAGCAGCTACCAGTGGCTCTATTGGTTCCAGAAGTTAACAAAACTGATCCCAGACTCACTTTAGAGACAAAGGAATTATGAATAAGGACAACCAGAAAAAGTGCTAGAAAGAACACTTACAAAATGTAGTTTCTGGGGAATAGGAACTATAGCTATTTAATTATAACTGTATTTCATGACACTGAGAGGTAGACACCAAGTAACTGATGTGCCTTACAAACTATCCTGCATCTGCTGTGGGGGCGGGCAGGGGGGAAGCAGTCTTTAAGTTTCCCTTACATTTTGAAGAATTTTCCTTAAGAAATACCTTAGTAAATAAAAAATGAGAGAAAACGTCTTTTAAACTTTTCTCAGTTAACATGATTACAATGTGCTGTTGCTTTAGCACAAAAATTTTTAAATGTTTTTAAAGACTAAAACAAGCTATTTAAAATAAGCTTTAAAAAATGTTATAGATGGCAACCAAACACTATCATTTTCTATTACAGGACTTAAAATACTTATACAGACTCAGAAGCTGAGGGTACATATACCAATTATAGATGGGAAACTTATTCATCTCTCTCTATACAAAGTTTACCCTCACTATAAAGCCCATATACTACATTAACTGATTTGGCTCCTCACTCTCATTAACAACTCCAAAATCCTCTTATAAAAATCAATTTATAGCCAAATACTTCTTTTTCCTGGCTTGATCTCAGGAGCCCTCAAGGTTGGTTCTCAAAAATATAAGAAAATTTAAAAACCACAATATAACATTATTAGTCAAAGTGGTTTCTATCAAGTTTTCTGCCACACTCTCAAGCCTCTTATCCCTTGTCATTGACACATTTATCTTACTACCACTAATGGAAAACATCAATCCTGCCTTCTCTAGTCTAACTCTCCATGGTAAACATCTAGGCCTAGAGTGCATAAGAGTGGGAGGTAAAGATGGACTTCTGGTCAAGATGGTGGAATAGACAGTCCCCAGTGCCACTCTCTCCCACAAATCAACTAATTTACAACTATTAAAAAGGAATGACAGCCAAGCTGGGGCTGCTAGAGCTCAGGGGAAGAGGAGGAGAGACCTATGGAGTACACAAAGGCAAGAGAAGCCACAATGAGAGAAAGAAAAAACTACTCCACTTCGAGCCCAGGTCACTTCCAGGCTGGAGCTGCTGAACACGTGGAGCAGGAGCTGGCAAAAGCCACAGCTGTGCCCTTCAGATGAAGATGCTTGGAGCCGGCAGGGAAGAAGAGGGCCTTGTTGGCCCCCAGGCCAGCAATACCACTAATAGGGTTCCTGTGGACCCACAGAGGACTGAGGATCCACAACAAACGGAAAAAATGAGCCACTCAGAGGCTGGTGAGTCATCACAAGGGACTGGCGCACAGCCTGTCCCATGGTAAGTGTTTGCAGCACAGGCGGTGAGAGAGATGGGCCCCCTGGGGGAACACTGGGACATAGCAAGGACAGCTGGTCTGCTTCCCAATCAGTGTAAGACCACTCAGAGGAGACTGGGCAGGAATACAGAATGGCATTGAGTGCAGTCTGATGAAAAGACTCAGTCCCAGACTAGTGTTTCTACACAACCCAGGTGCACTGGATTGCGTGAGAGCTGGAAGTACCTATAAAGTCAACCATTAAAACCTGAGCTGCACAAAAAGCCTTCCCCAGGGAAACAGCAGCAAAGCAGCAATTTAGCTCAACCACAGAGCTCAAGCACTTGTCCCCATGGGAAGTTCCCCCACTTTAGAAGTAAGCAAAGGACAACAAATTAGTTCCAGCACAGAGTTTAAGTGGTGGGAACAGCAAATAATCCAACACAGAACTGAACAAAAAAACAGAGTACCCATTGGGGCCCATTTGGGATCATGAAGTATGGAGCCGGGGCCCAGACCCTCCACCCACAACCAGGCACACTGCCAGCGCCACAGGGCCCACCCGGGGTCCTGAGGTATGAAGTTGGGAGCCACCAGCAACTAGGTAAGGAGCATGCCAAAAACATCACCTCCATGTGGGTGGCCCACCACAGGCCACCACAATGACTACAGCTGCTGTGAAAGTGGCTAGATGCCACAACCACCAGGGTCTGACAGCCACTGGAGTGCACTGATACAAGGAGAGTCACCAGCAGAGACCAAAGAAAAAAGAATGTCTCTCTCCACAAAGACCATTCCAGAGAGACAGAAGAAGCATCTGCTCTACGATAGTATTGGGGGACCTAAACATACCTCTCAGCCTTGGACAGATCATCTAGGCAACAAATCAACAGAGTAACTATTACTCTTTCAGAAGGAGAGAAGAAATCTAGGGTTATCAGAGGTGGGAGGGGGAGCTAGAAGGGGCTGGGAAGAGACTGGACAAGGTGCATACAGAATATGAATTGTAACAATATATATGCAAGTAATATTGATTTTATCAACATATGTCAATGTTGAACCCCCAAAATATGAATAATCAATTATGATTCAATAAAAATAATAAATAAATAAAGTGGGAGGTAAGAGAGGAAATCAAAAACCAAGCAGAATGATGTCCCCACATTCCCCGCCCCCATCAAAAATTTCCCACTTGCACCAGCATTTCTTTCATATATCCACAGTCTTCCATTCTCCACCCTAAACATTCCAAACACTTATTCCCTTTTTTTCACCACCCTGGATCTGTCTTACTTTCTTAAAGGGTATCACTGTCCCCTGAGGAGAAAGTGATAAGGACTGAAACTTCCAGCCATGACAACTGTGAATATCTATCAACCTCTACTCAGTTTTATCTCTTCCATTCTATCTCAGAAGTAGTAGTCCTCTTTCTGTTTAAGACTAGTTTCCCACCTGTTCTAAGATCCCTTTCCAAACGCTCAGAAAACTTGTTTCATTACCAGCATGCTGTCCCCACCCCCAATATCATCTTCCTCTCTGCTGCTCTTTTGTCCCCAACGTAACTTTATGTTCAAGTCTATAACATCTTACAAAAGAAATTAAAAATAATTAAAACTAGTCTGTAATTTAGCATCCTCTTCCAGCTACGACCATCTTACCTTCTCAGGCAAATTTTTTGAAAGAGTGGCTATACATATTTGCTGCTTTCAATTCCACAAATTCTCCTCAACTGCTGTTTCTCAAAATACTGGAATTTGATTTGCAATCCTAAAATCACTCCACTAAAATTGCTTTTGGAGAGGTTTCTACTATTCTCAGAAATGCAAAATCCAATGGTCACCTCTCAGTCTTTGTTTTTGTTTTTTGTTTTTTTTTGTCTTTTGTCTTTTTCCATGTCCTGGCAACGGATCGCAACCCCCAGTGTTGCCCCCGTTCCGGACCGGGGACCGGCAACGGGATCGCAACCCTCGGTGTTGCTCCCGCGCCTCGCTCAGCCAGTGAGCGGGAACCGGTCTGTATGTGGGATCCGAACCCTCGGGCAGGAGCGCCGCCGCGCTTCCCAAGCGGCGCACTTATCCAGTGCGCCACCGGGCCGGCCCTCAGTCTTTGTTTTATTTGACTTTGCTGTAGCAGGTGGCAACATGAATCACTCTTTGCTATGCTGAAATGCTGGAACTCCTAGTGGAACTATCCTGGGCCCTCTTTCCATTTTACATCTTTCTATGGCTTCAGCTATCATCCATAAGCTGAACATTCCCAAATTCTTATTGCTAGATAAAACTAGCATGAGCACTAGACCTGTAATTCAGCTCTCTGTATGTATATATCTATATACCATCTACACCTCAAACTCAACATTCAGAAACTGAATTCATAATCTTTCTTCCAAATGTGTTTCTCATATCTTGGTTAACCGCACTATCTCCTACCTACCTAGAATCTGGGAGTTATGTAAGACTCCTCCCTAGGTTAATAATTTAAATTGACTTATTGCAGTAGGAAGGTAAGCCAATAAACATCCTCACTTTTCCTTCCCATTGCCAAAATGGGAATAATCATGCCTATCCCCATCTACTCTACCAAGAAATCAGTAAAATATATGAAATGATATGTTCAAATGCTTGATTGATGTGATAGAATTCTAATCTTTCACAGTGGTTGAAAGAGGGGAAAGGCCACATTACATCTCCAAATTCAGAGAAAAAGGGTCCTGATGACTGTTTCTCTCCACCTTGAAAACTCCCAATATCTGGATGTTGTAATTTCCATGTACTGGCGCTGGCAATAAGTTTCAGAGCTTAAACTAATTTCTTCAGGATTCTGCTAACTAATGATCACAGAGGGCTTAGAATAAAGCTATTTAAACTATAATAATAAAGAACAAACTTTCAGAATTTCTTGAAAATAAAGAAAAATGAAATAGAAAACAAACTATAATCACAAGTAATCCAAAAAAGAAACTAGTTTTATAGTCTCAATTGTAATATTCAAAGAAAATGTTGCAAAAGACTTCTTATTTTATAACACAATTACCTTTACTTGGGACTGATTTTTTCACTGAGGCCACATGATCTTCAGAGATTGCAAGACGTCTTAAAACATCAGCCAAAGCTGCCTTTAGCACAGTGATTTCATCTTCTTGTTGTTGAACTCGTAACTCAAGAGCTGAGAGGCGATCTTGAACATCAGAAGTACTGGCAGCGGAAACACTATCATCTATAAAATAAATATAGAACATTTAAAAAATAAACTGCTTGAGAAAGAATCTCTTTCTGGTTAAAAAAAAACCAATTCTACCAGATAAACCTTTTAAAGGATGAGAAAAACAAAACATCACCGCATCATGTTTACACAGATTAACCTCTATAAAGATTTTCATGGCTATTTTAACTAATTTAAAATAATACAAGTAGGGCTGGACAGTTAGCTCAGTTGGTTAGAGCACTGCCTCAGAGCACTAAGGTCAAGGGTTTGGATCCCCATACCCTGTACTGGCCAGCCACCAAAAAACAAACAACTAAAATGATAAAAGTTAATAAATTTGACAAATAATTAAATTGAGGAAAGTTTTCCCCATGATCGAAGTTTCTCTATTTTTATACCATCACCTTAACTGACTTTCTCACCAAAATGTTCCCTAAACACATCACTTTGTAGACATCTAGAAACTTGCAAGAGAGCAAACTATTCAAAGTATCCTTCTTAATTACCACATCATTATCATACTTCTCTAAGAAAATAAAAAAGGAATACAAATCAGTTCCATTTTGCTTTATGAATCAGACAGGGAACCCACCACCTCCAGCATCAATGTTCAGAAAGCACTCTTTATTTTTGCCTTTACTATTTTACTCTCCCAACCCCCACAAAAGGCAATACTGCCATGTAATCAGCAAATACTTTTTGTTGCTCCTTCTCTCCCCCTAACATCCCAACCTCTCTTAAAAAAAAAAAAAAAAAAAAAAAAAAAAAAAAGGTATGATTTCTATAAAGCACATACCTAATGTTTGCCTTAGGTAATATAACAACAACAGAAAGACTATTTAAATAAGGTTTAGTTATAAAATAGCAATTACAAACTATTTCCATAGCTACGTAACTTTAGAGTACACTATTTGTTGGGTCAATCAGAATCAAAATGTATATTAAAAAATCAATTGCTACTGGTCAATTCACTACAAGCAGGAAAATTCAGGGAGAAATAACTAACTGTAAAAAGACACCCTTGGCTTACACTGAGGGGATATTTTATTTTTATTTATTTATTTATTTTTAATTCACGTAATTATTTAATGACAGAAAAATAATATCATGAAACAAGCTGGTTACAATTAGTAGGTAGAAGATGACTCCATTTTTGATAAAAAAAAACATTAAAAAGTATGAGCATGCATATGAAAAGTTAGAAGGTTATATACCAAAATATTAACAGTATGTACTCCAGTTCAGTGATTAAATATTCTTTGCTTTTGTGTATTTTTTGAAACATGATTATTTCTGAAACAACAACAACAAACAAAAAACAAGGTACTGGAAAGAACAGTTATTAAATGCCAGGAGTTAGAAACCCAAGAAGCCAAGCTAGGAACCCAGCAGTTAAGGTATGAAACCCAGGACAAGTCCAGCAAGGGTGACAGTGGTCAAGCTCAGAGGTGGAACATTGTTCTTTTCTTTTCCTACTGGAATGCTGTTTATCGGACAGTTTCCTCTACATTTGATGTTCTCAGCATACTTACATTTAATGGCTACAAATATTCACTGGCACAACAAAATGATGCTAGCAACTTTGGTTTTGAATTGGTACAAAATGTAACTATTTCCAGTTGTTCACTATGCAAAACACTAGAAATCAAGTGTACCTACAACAAAAAACCCACCTGACTAAATAACTAACTTTCCTATTATTTTTCTGACCTCTTTTTTCAATTTTCACTGAAAATCTGTTTTTTGTTTCATTGATCTGGAAGAGAGAATTTTTTTTTTTTTTTTTTTTTACAAAGAAACTAACATTAATGTACACTGAGCACTGTCTGATGTCTTGGCCTTTAAGTCTACTTGACAGTTGGCTTTGTCTTCTAAGTACTCTGCAGAATGGGAAGGGCTCACCAAAATCCAAACCACCTTGAAATAAACAAATCTGAATGAGTATCACCGCTGTGTTTTTTAAAAATAGATGTTTGCTAATTTACCAAATGGAGAATAGCAGAATATACCTAAATTGCTGTAAATGAGGCTCAAAAATTTCAATTGCGCACCCTTCCCCCTCCCATGTTAAGACTACTAGGGACACTTCACTCGAATGACACATAACCCATATTTCTTGTTTCTTAAAAAAAAAAAGTAGTGATACCAACTTTATCCTAAGGTGCTGCTTCTTAGGTTTACCCAAAACTCTTTGCCCTTTTATCCTGCAGCATCTTCAGGAGGGGTCAATAGATACTGTTAAGATCCAATAAACAACTAAAACCAAAAAATAAGCTGAGACTATTTTCTGCATTACCACCACCTGTCCAGTATACTCTATCACCTTTTATAGCAAGTTAGTACATCAATCCCGGCCACAAAAACCTTTACGCATCAGGAAAGAAAAGTACAAAAACAATTATATTAAAACAATGATACAAAAATTTTTTTGAAGGGGAGGGGGAGAATATTTAAAATTAAAATACTATATCATTACAACAAAGACCCAAATAATTCCTTGCTTTGTCCTTGGGTAACCAAGGAATATTAGTCTGTATTATATTCCCCAAATAAGACTTGCTGGAAATAACAGTGCTCAGTTCTTGCAATCCAAGTTAATTTATACTTGTTAGAGCAGTCCAAATTACAAAGGCTACAAAAATTCCTTCATCAGAACTAGAGAAAAGAAACCCACTTCAGGGTAAAGTTATCCAAGATGAAAGTGTGTGAGAGAACTGCCTCCTGTCAGATGATTTCTTACTAATGTTTTTAAAGATTTTGGACTTCTCAACTTTTTTGGTTTTCTGGTAGCCAAATCCACCACCACCTCCTCTCTTTTTATGCTTGTCTTCATTGCTGTTCACGTTCAGATCAACAAAAGGAGGCACCTTGAAACTGATGCTTGTCTTCATTGCTGTTCACGTTCAGATCAACAAAAGGAGGCACCTTGAAACTGAATGACAGAGCAACTTGAGGCAAATTTAAGTTACTGACATTATAGATCTGCTTCAGAGAATGGGAATCATATGCTCGAATGTATGACTTATATGCTTCCTGCGCTGACTTATGAAGAAAGTAGTTCTTTTCAATCAATTTTTCAAGCTGAGATTGAATATCAGAAATTTTAGACCAAGAAAAGTCAAATTCATTTCATGGAACCTTGGATTGCTTCAAGTAACGAAGGAATCCCAATTCTTCTGGGCGCAAAATGAGCAAGGCATGCCCTCTTCCGTTCAGGCCTCTGGCCGTTCTACCCACACAATGAATATATTCCTTAGGGTCATCTGGAGGGTCATATTGAACAATCCAGTCAACTTCAGGAATATCCAGTCCTCTTGCTGCCACATCTGTACACAACAATATCCCCAAATCTGCATTGCAGAATTGGAAGAATGTGGTTGTACGCTTATTTTGCTTCTGCCTTCCATGAATGGCCAAAACAGGCAAATCAATGTAGTTCAGCAACTCGTAGTGGTACTTCACGGACTTACAAGATGAAAAAAAGACCATCAGTTTCTTCTTTCAGTTCTTCTTAAGGAATGTAAAGAGCAGAAGAAATCTCTCTCTTTTTTTTTTTCCTTTTTGTCTTTTTTCGTGACCAGTAATGGGATCGCAACCCTCAGTGTCGCACCCGTACCGCGACCGCCAACGGGATCGCAACCCTCGGTGTTGCGCCCACACCGCACTCAACCAGTGAGCAGACCGGTCTCTATATGGGATCCAAACCCTCGGCGGGAGCGCCGCCACGCTGCCAAGCGCCGCACTCTACCGAGTGCACCACCGGGCCGGCCCAGAAATCTCTTTTCTGAGGGACAAACAACATATCCCTGCTCAAGACCATCCACTGTTGCATTAGCTTTGTCATCATCAACGCCAACATACAATGGCTCCTTTTTCAGGGAAATACTGGCCAGATCTTCAACTTTTCGAGTTTGTGTGGCAGAAAAGAGCATGGTCTGTCTATGTACTGGCAGAAATTTAATAATCTGCTTTAATTCCTCTTCAAACCCAACATCCAAGATACGATCAGCCTCATCAATAACCAGACACTGTAGGTTTTTATACATAAACCCTGGGGTATTCTGCATATGGTCCAGGAGACTGCCTGGTGTGGCCACAATGATATTGATCCCATTAGCAAGTTTCTGTGCTTCAGCAGATCTGTTACTGCCACCCATTATCAACCCATATGTGTGAACATGATGAGTCATTAGCTCCTTAAGAACACCAAAAGTCTGCATGGCCAGTTCTCTAGTAGGTGAGAGAATAAGGACTCCTGTTCCATTTCTGGGCATGAACTTTAACTTAACAATAAGTTCAACAGCAGGGATGAGGAATGCTAGGGTTTTACCACTGCCTGTTTTTGCAGCTGCTAGAAGATCTCTGCCTTCCAAAAGTGGTCTGATACTTTCATGCTGAATTTCAGTCATGTTTGTAAAGCCCATTTCTTTTACAGCCTTCAGAGTGTTTTCATTGACAAGATTAGTTAGAGAAGCAAATGAAGTATCTTCAAAGGCTCCTGTCAGTCCCAGGGGCAGACTGGGCACTTCACTGTCATCTTCCTCGTTATCTGGCTTCTCCACACTGTTTTCTGTCTCTTCGGGAGCCTTAGCACTGCCTTCTTCACATTCTCCTTTGTTTTCAGTTTTTGCTTTTTTTGTATCAGGCCCAGCATCAGTCATCATTTTTCTCTTTTTCTTTTTTGATTCTGAATTGAGAGACTGTGTTGCTGTTTCTCCATTGGTTAATATGGTAGATTTCTGGAAGGATTTTTTAACTTTTACTTTTTCCACTGCTTCTTTAGACATATCTCCATTTTGGGTTTCTGATGAGCCCACATTCATAGACTGTTTTTGTGATTTTTTAAGTTTTCCAACTCCCACTGTTTCTTCAGACACATCTCCATTTTGAGTTTCTGACAGGCTCACAGCTGAGGCCCCTGTTTAAAAACAGAACATACACTGTGACAGAGAAAGGGAGGTTTACTTAGAAACACTGGAATCCCAAATGAGAAATACCATGGCTTCCAGGATTCAAATTATTTCGATTTTTCTTCTCTTGCATGTACCTTATTAAAACCTCTTGCAATTTTATGTTGTTCTCCTATAAGAAAAGTAAGTTTGCTTTAAAAAAAAATGCTGGAAAAGGGAAAGCAATATTGACTTCTTATCTTCAGTAAACCATATCTGTACTTTAAGGAATCCAGGTCAGGAAATAGCTTCAAGTTTCGCTGCCGCAACTTGAGGTTCCGTTTCTCAATCTTCTTGCGCAGGAGTTTCATAGGCAGGTGAGACATGCTGTCGGAGAAAGGCCTTCACAGCCGCGCCACTGCACAGTTAGCTCCTCTTCTCTCCGAGTTGACGTTACTTCCTTTCCGCCCACACGTGTGCAGTTCTCGAGGGGATATTTTAGATTCTAACGTAAGAGTTGTTTGGATCAGACTGAGATAATTTAAACTGGGGCAGTCATTCAGACAAGGCACAGTGTGCCATTTTTCTCATACTGAGATAATGTGCCCTGGACCTTCTTATGCAATTTAATTCAAAGTTTGAGTTGAGTTAAACAAAACCAAACCACCACCCTAACATCTGAAAACCAAAGCTATTACCATTACATTATGGAGCAGTAATCAATATTCATATTTAAGATCATATATGCCAACTGACCTCCCAGGCATACATGTATACTCTCTTCTGCCTTAAAGGTATTTTAATGACAATCTTTGAGAAATACTGGTATCAAAGAAAAAGATGGGTTTTATCTTTAATTTAGACTTCAAATTTTGGTTCCATATTAATTAGTTATATTATCTTAAGCAAATTGGGGTTTTTTTGTGTTTTTTTTTTTTTTAGCTCTTTGAGCCTCAATTTCTTCAACTTTAAATAGGATTGGTGTGAGGAAGGTGC